TTTTTTTTGTGTTTAATTTTTTACATGTTCATTTTTAATTACTAAATGTTCACATTTATTTTACATGTTCATATATATTTTTTTTTTACTAAATGTTCATTTTGAAGTTCGTGGTCCAACAATTCTATGATTATATGATACGATTAACTATGTCCGATTTTAATACTACAAAAATGGTCATTTTTTTTGTAACGTATGCACTTTATATTACTAAATGTTCATAGTTTTTACGAGTTCATTAATTATTACTAAATGTTTATTTTTATTACCATGTTCATATTTTTTTTTCTAGATGTTCATTTTATAGCTCGTGGTGCAGCTATCCGGTGTAACTAAGACTTATTGGGGGGTCAATAGATGGTACGGAACGCAGATCAAACCATGCATGGGCTCTATTTATAAAAGATTGATACAAACTTGGAACAATACCCCGACAATTTCTTGGCCCACTTTGACATGACTTGCTTGAACATGAGGTACGTAAGAATGCACGGTTTGGCCCATGCCCAACTTTATGCAGCATATGTGCTCAAGCATATATAATTAATTTATTAATTAATTAGATGATTTCAAATATATATATATATGGGTCATCACTTATTAATTCCAGCTTCATGAGTGGTGAAAGAGGTTAGATCATTAGGCCTAAAGCAACAAAGCAAACAGTTCATGTACAAATATATAATCTTCATTTCTATTAGTCTTTTACTCATAATATATACTCCCTTCATATTTTAATACTTAGTAAATGAAATAATGTAACACTTTGACTGATAAGATCTTTAATTATCAATAACTAAAAATTATAACAATTAAATATTAATAAACTATTCATTGAGACTATTCCAATCAATACGTATAAGATTATATTTATTTTTATGTATAAATTAAACATTAGTCAAAGTGAAATAAATAAATAGTACAAAAAGTCAAAACGCTTCACTTGTTTAAAAACGGAGGGAGTGCGAAGTACTAGACTAAATCCTCTAAAGTTCGCTTCTTAGATCTATAATAAGAAAGTTAAAACAAAAGGTATTAGAGGATTTTTTTTTATTTTTTTTCTAAATTAGGTGTTAATCTGAAGATGAAAATTGGAGAAAAAGAACAGGAGCGAGTTCTTATTAACCAAGTTAATTGATTATGCAAGGATTTAAGATTTTTCACTTCACTAAAAACATAGGTATTCTTATCTAAGTTTAACAACTTCTGATCCGAACTAGTCTAATCTAAACCCGACCTTATCACCTTTAAGAAGCTATAACCTCATCAATTTTCTAATGTGATTAAAGTCTTAACACCCACAAACCATTCAAAAAATGGTTGAAACTCATACAAGTGGAGCTCACCCACAGGATACAAGCAAAATACTTAGCCCCACACCTTATCCAACCAACACCCTCCCAAAAACAAAAGGTCTAAATTTGGCATATGCCTTTTCCATGGATCCTCCTCCTTCCCTCCACAACCTTCCAACCTTTGAACCAAAACCAACATACTTAAGCTCACCACACTCTCAAATTATTCCCAAATTTTCGAGCCATTATACTCTAAAACCACCATTGAAATCAGTAACAATGGCTTCTTCTATTACAAGACCAACAACCTTCTCATTCCACCATACTTCACCTTCACCACCTAAACCCAAAACCCAATTCATTTCATCTACCATATACTCTATGAATTACAAAGGACTTACACTCGAGGCGAACCACTCGAACCGAGCCGGTTTCGCCTCGAAATCAATTGATGTGTCAAAGGAAGATAAACCCATTTCAGAACAACCAAATTCAGAGGAACCCAGTTCATTAGATACAGAAAATCTTGATAAACGAAGATTGGAGGAGAAATTTGCAGTGTTGAATACTGGGATTTATGAGTGTAGATCATGTGGTTATAGATATGATGAATCTGCAGGTGATCCTAGTTACCCTGTTCCTCCTGGATTGCCCTTTGGGCAGCTGCCCGAAGATTGGAGGTGCCCGACTTGTGGGGCAGCAAAAGGGTTTTTTGAGAGTAAAAGTGTTGAAATTGCTGGGTTTGCTGAAAATCAACAGTTTGGACTTGGGGGTAATTCTCTTACTTCTGGTCAGAAGGCTTTGATTATTTATGGTAGCTTGTTTTTGTTCTTTTGTTTGTTTTTATCAGGTTATTTTTTGCAATAGTATGATTTTGTAATGTAGATTAATTTTTGGGGTGGAGATATAATGTAATGTAATTGTTATACTATATTATGTGAGTAAAGAGGAAAAGGTTCAATAATGGATGATTTGGTACTTGGTAATGGATTTTTTGTGTGCATGATGATGAATTGTGTTTCTTTTTTCGTGTTTTCGATATTGTGTTTTGAACAAGGTTGACATGCTAATGGTATGGATTGGATTGAAGTAAAGTGAAATCGAATGTGGGGTTTGTCATTGTTTGTTGTTAAGTATAGAATGTTAGAGGTAAATTTTGTAGCTGTGATCAAGGGAAGGAATTAGCTTCTCTTTGACATGAGGTTGCATACATCTGAACCCCTTGTGTTTCGAAATGAGTAGGAGCTATGTAAGAGGTGCTTATTAGCAATGTATGGTGTGGTATACTACGATTTCATTTGGGTGAAAGAGCATTGAGGTTTCTTAGAAGTTCGGGTGTATGAAGTGATAAAAGCCTCCTTACTCCCATCTTTGGGGAAGCAATTTAGTTAACAAGTACTTAGTATTATGCAGCATGACGCGATTCATTGCTTTGAGCATATTTCAACTACATTTGAGGTTTATTGTTGGTAAGATCGAAGATGCTCAAATATTAGTTGATTGCAGTACGGATGAATATTACGTTTGATGATGAATTTTGTCATCAGCTCTACTCCTATAATCAACTGGAATTTAGGATTTCTGTTTCACAGTTTTAATGTTATTGCGGTTGCAAATATATGACAGGAAACATATATGCATTCTTATTCTTGTTTGATTCTTATTTCCGTTTAACAAGTTCCCTGCTCAAGTGCTATTTAACTGGTAACTTCCTGATGTTTTGAACTATGTAACTCGAACACTTCATTCCACCTGAAGTTCTTCTGGCAATTCCCCTTGACACTCTAACATAGGTATGGACACTTTACACTTTACTTCAGACCAAAAGCACCAGATTTTTTCATAAAGTACTCGATTTTGACACTTACACGTACGACCTACCCATGTAGCCATGTCTTACAGGATACTGATATTACTGATCATGATCAATATGATCCACCTTGATTGATCACAATCAGCTCATAAGTCATCAGCCAGCTCAGCATTTAGCTATAACTAACTCCCTTATTTCTCATTTGTTTCCTTAACAAACTTCCTAGCTTCAGTTTTGTTATTACATGTATAAAAGCTGTATTAGGTTCATTTCCTTGATTATGTAATGCTCTCTCTGTCAATGAAGATTCTCTCCCATTTTCTTTCTAATTCTCTTTAAATACAGTAGTATCCCTGATTCCCTGACCAGTAACACGTCACTCCGTATCTGAATGTACTGCATTGCTTACTAAATAATGTGTAAGATTTGTTCTTTGTTGAACTGATGGAATTATTAGGTTTTCAGTAAACCTGTAAGGCTGTAATGCCTAATAGGTTAACCAAGGCGATTATGTCATCGCTGGTAGCTGCTAATCAGTCACAGGGCATGACCATGAGTTTATATGAGAAACTATCCAATGTTTCTTGTACGTCGTTATAAGTAGAATAACTCCTCTACAAATGCTGGTGAACTTTGAGAAGTTGTATAGGATATGCTTCATAAGCAAAAAGACATTATGTTTCTTGAGTTTCATGACAGAAACGAGAAACCCTCCCCACCTTTGGAGTAAGCTTGCTTTGCACAAAACTAAATTCTATGTGCAATTTATACAACAGTTCACTTTTGCAGGCAGGCTAACACTCAGTGTTCTTACCAACATTCCAGCGTCTGATGGAGATATTGCTAACCTCATTTCTTTAACTCATTAGCTTATACTCCATCCAATCATCCATTCTTATTTGCTCTACCCACTTATGTTTTAGGCCGTTCTTTTATGTTGTACTCACTTTACTTTACTCAACTTATGACATACCTCTTCTACCATTTCACCCCTTCAACCCCACAACAATTACACCTTTACATACTCTCTCTTACTTTATTCACTTTTTCTTTACACAGACTTACCTTTTTACATCCTCTCTCTTACTTTATCTTGCACCCACCTATTTTTTTCTACAGTTTCTTAAATTGCGTATCTACAATAAGTGAGTAGAGCATAAACGAATGGATGTAGTATTCTTTTTCTTGACTAATGCTTCTCTATGACTCTATCAAACTCGTAAACTGTTAAACAATAGCTTCCCCTTTCCTCCTACCCCTTGACAGCTGATCAGAATTACTAGAAGCCCCCACCCACCCAATCTCATTCTCCTACTCGATGATCCAAGCTCTCTCTCTCTCTCGATCTTGACTTTGACAACCTTCATCTACCACCCTTGTCAGCTCTTTTTGATGATCTACCACCCTCGACCTAATGATTGTAAGACATGTAAGCTATTAATGACAACCTTCCCCATCTCTCACATGTTTTGTGAAGTAATTGATCATAGTGGCATGACCTTAAGGTGTAAGCCCTAGCCCCTGAGTGCAGTATCTTGTTCACTACAACAATATTCTAACCCAAAATTATTGAAGCGACTTTGTCCAATGTTTATCTATGATGAAGTAGAATCAAAGAAGAGTTGCCCCCTCCAAACTCCAAAGGTACCTTCATCAAAACCATTGCAGTGTACTTGTGGCTCAAGAATACGCCTGATTAACTATTTGACAAACTTAGCGCAACAGTGTATTCACGATATTCCACCAACAATGAACAATACTAAAAGTTCTATGCAAGTACTGCTGTATCAAAGATGGTGAAAAGCTTGATGAAAAAAAAAAAAAAATCAATCTGCTGTTCAATGGCTAGAGCGCTAGACCAGTGGACCCAGATAGCAGAGTAGATTTTAACCTGAGAAAGAAAAACATATAGTCGTATATTGAAGAAAGAAAGTTGGCTCATCAGCCAATGTGTAACTATGCGATTGTTCATTTCTTACTGTGACTACCCTGATTTCTGCTACAATTTGAATACAACTGATCTAGATCTTTGATTGTCAAGTGTATACCAATGACCGTACTCCTAACTGTAAAGTAATGAATTTACAGATGCACGGCCACCAATATGACCTAGATAACATGTCGATACACTACAACAGAACATGAGCAAGAATGCGAAATTATGCATCTGACTACAAATACCACGGTCGCTTCTTCACGTCCTGAAATAATCAGGTGGCTCCTCTTTGCTATGAGATGTCACAACAATTGTGTCGTTGATCTAAAACATACATGTACTATACAGATCAACAATATTTCAGAACAAATGTCCACGGTTTTAGCAATCAAATCATTCTTGTTGTGTTGGTCGTTGTGTCTTCATTTGGTAAACTTGTTTTTGCGGCTTCTGGGGTGATGTCTCCTGCTGTCTGAAATGCATGTTATTTCCAGCTACTGGTCTATTAATCCAGTTGATAGGGGGTGACGGAATAGGACCCATATTTTGGACAAAATTGTTTTGTTGACTGTGCATGGGCCCAGTATTTTGCATCCTTGGCCTCATCAAAGCTGGTGGTCTATTACGAATCCCTCCTAGTGTCATATTCGACATAGCAGCTCCTAAATCACGGTCATCCTCTCTGTGTGGTAATCTGTCATTGTGTCTAATTCCACGGGGCTCATAGGGCATTCTGTGGCCATTTGCCATAGGCCGGGGCATATGATGATGCCCATAATTGTAACTGTTATCATCATAGTAGCCTCTTTCATACCCTGCAGGTCCAGCTGGCCTTGGCCTATTAATCATATGGTTTCCTGGATGATTCCGATGGGGCATATAATCCAATAATCCAGGAGATGAATCAGTATGTTTAATATTTAATGTGTTCTTAAGAAGGCGATGAGCAGCTTCACCCAACTGAGGCCCACGTATTGCTCCTGGTACTTGAGGCCTGAGATACAAGGGTGAGCAGTATTAGACAAAATCAAAGCAAGAGGCAAAAAGTGTCAACAATGACTGACATTTTCGATTTCCAAGCGGTTTTAGTTTTCCAGGATATAAAGGATGGGTGGAACAGGTCATTGAATCATTTGTCTCTCATACATGGTAATCTGATGATAGGCAGGGGACCTTGGTAGCAAGTAAGCATTGTACGAGTTCCTATTGTTAGTGTAATAGGACTGTTGAGTAGCCACAATTTAAGATACTATTAGATTTTATTTATTTTTGAGTAAATACTGAGTATTAGATTATTATAACTAATTGTCAATATTCATCTAGATTAAGGCAGATATAGTCACAAAAGTTTTATTGGATCAATTGTACACCAAGTCCAATCTGACTGACTCAAACTGTATGGAAACTCTGTTAGACATCCAAATAGTAAGCCGTGAAAGGAACAAAATTAGGGATAAGTATGTCCAACTCAAAACAAACCCATTTAATTAAAAACTCCTGACTACGGAAAGTTGTCTACTAAAGTATAACTGAAAAATTAATACTCCGTATATTTTTCATGTGCAAATATGATGCATTATTTCTGTCGGTAGCAAAAAGAACCATGTAAAATCGAAGATGGATGAAACTATTAAAGCTATACCTTTCACGTCCAAATTGACGCCTATTGCCATTGTCTTCGTGCCATAACGGGGGGAAAGGTTTCACGTCAGTAGATTTTATCACCTGCAGTGAAGAAAATGCAAGAAAAGTTGAGGCTAGCAGACCAAAAGATAGACTGAATTCCAAAAGATAGTTCACTTCAAGCTATCATCTGTAGAATTCGCTAGTTTCCATACATTAGTAGCTCGTAAATATCATAAATCCAATGACAAGTCACAAAGTAATCCACGCCTTAGAGTATATTTATGAGTGTTGTCTCAGATACTATGAAACTACATACCTTAGCTGGTATAATTGCACCCTTTGGAGGCTCCGGGATATGTTTACGAGGCAGAGGATTCAAATATGTCACATTTCTGCAAAATAGATGTTTTTCTTGGTGGTAAGCACTAATAAATTCAAAACTCAAAAACATGACAGCAGCAGACGATACTTACAAAGTTTGGTTATTCGTAATAGCGGGTAGCCCAGCAACTGGTGAAGCGATCACTTGCCTCCACCCATTTCTTTCAGATAACCATAAATAACCATTCATTCCACCACTGCATAAATATTACAATGACCGTTGAAGTTAAACCTTTATCAGCTTCGAAAGTCAAAAGTCAAAAGTCAAAAATCTACCTGGCATAGCTGTCAATTGGCCAAGCATATCTTTGGTCAGGAGGCATCTGATAGTAGAAATGGTAATATGACACAACTTGAGCAGCTAAAGGATGCGCGGGATGGATATATAGCATATCAAACATCACACAGTTCCGGCGCTGCTCATCTACCTGCAAAAGTGATATAAATCAGACTAAGTTCTACAGAATCAATTTAACCGTGAGCAATTATCAGGATCTTAGACTCAGATATGATAAAACCAAAGGCAAACTATTGAACTCAGACATGAAAGCAAAAGAATTGCATGAGATGATGTTGCTTCTAGACTCTACATGATCGAAAGTAGTGAGCATTGAATTTTAGTGTTAAAATATATCTATGACACAGCATTAGGAAAATCAAAAATGGATTTTCACTCAAACAGATATTTTTAAAACCCCTCCCATTAGAAATCCCTATTGGAAATTAGAAGGGATCCCAAATTAGAATGCTTGGCAAAAGCAGGCAATTAAAAACAAGTGTTTACACGTCATAATCCCTCCTGTTAGAAATCCCCTGTTTGGGTTAGATTAAGGTGCACAAAAGCAGGCATTTAAGAGTAAATTTTTACACCTCAAAAAATCAGATTCCCTTTTGAAATAGATGTACTTAAAAAATCTTGTTTTTTGGTTTTTAGAGTTCCCCCAAAAGTAGGAAAAATGGAAACTAATAGTCCCACCTTTGTTAATTCTGCTCAAAACAATCCCACATTTTCGAAATCCGGAAACAATCCCACCTTTGACCCCCATCTGCTCAAAACAACCCTTTTACTGGTTTGTGAAATTAGTAACTTGTTTCAGAAGGTGACTTGCCACGTGTCACCTTTTGATTGGTTTTTTTTTTTTAAAAAAAAAAAAATTTAAAATAAGATTATTAAAAAAAAAAAAAAACTTGTCTTCTTCCCACTTTCCCAATTACCTCCCTCCCGAAGCTCCCCCCCCCCCTTGACGGGCCCAACCGACCTTCCCCAGCCTAGCCCCACTCCCTTCCCCACCGGCGAAGTCCCACCCTCTTTCCCGTCGACAAACAACAACCCCCACCTCTAACCTCTTCCCGTCGACGAACAGAAGTCCCAACCCCTTTCCCCATTTCCCCTAACCCCCACCTCTAATTTATGTTTGATTTTTTGGGTTTTTGATGATTTCTAGAAATGAGTGTAGTTCTTAAATTAGAAACACCCTAAATTAGAAACTTAGCAGTAATCGATAATTGATAATCTGAAGCTTGATTAGATTGATTTTTTTACCTAGTTATACATGTAAGAGTTTAGTTTAATTTAAGTTAAACCCAGTTCTTGTAATTGCCATTTAAGTGTTTGATAAAATGCCTGAACTATTTGAGCAGTGGATACTGAAATTGGGAGTTGAAATGGGACAGTCCAAGACTCCATTGTCCAAGATCCTAACAACCACATCATCATGTACTCCCGGGGGAACAAAAGTTCGAGAGGAGAAGATAATGGTAATGGTTCGGGTTAGGCCGCTGAGCTCGAGGGAACAAGCAATGTATGATTTGATTGCATTGGAGTGCCCGGATGAGGAGACAGTAGTGTTCAAGAATTTCAATGATGAGAGGCCTTGCTCCTCCTTTACCTTTATAAAATCATGGAGGGGTGGCGGTTTGGGTGTTCTTCCATGGAAGAGGTGGTCAAGGTGGGGATGTAGGAGGAGAGAGATAGAATTTTTTTTTTTATTTTTTTTTTTTTTAACCTGGTTAACAAGTTGTAGGTAAACGGGACTGTTTTGAGCAGATGGGGGTCAAAGGTGGGATTATTAGTTTCCATTTTTCCCCAAAAGTATCCCCCAAACCTCACACTTGGAGCCTTAAAAAGAATGCCCTGCAAAACCTTCATTTCAACGGACTTTGCTTTTGATAAATCCCTGAACAAATGCACTGAGGATAGCTAAACCAATTAAGCTAACTGAAATGCTAAAGTAAAAAATTAACAAACAATAATGAGCAAGACAAGCTTTTTTAAGTTACTCAAGTAGCTGATTACAAGTATATTCTTTAAGAATTTAACCTATCTCAACAAAGTACTCCATCACAGAAAAGTAATTTGAAAAGTTTCTGAACACAGACAAACTATGCTTCTGATTAGTGGTGAAAGAGGCTCACGGAATATGGAACAGCAACAAAAACGAAACCTAAAATCCTTGTAATAAACATCTCCACGACAAATCCCCAATTCCAATTCTACCAGCTTCTTATATAAGACTGACTGGCAGACTTTCATTAATAATAATAATCATTGTCCCAAAGTCTAAGTGAGGCTCCTGGCCTCCACACCACCAGTGTCTAGTAGGCTGTGCAAAACCCAAAAAAAAAAAAAAAAAAAAAAAAAAAAAAAAAAAAAAAAAAAAAAAAAGAGAGAGAGAGAAAATTGAATTAAAAAATTACACCTAAAATTAAGGTAAGAGGACCTAAAATACGGGTCTTAATTTGGATAGTTACTGCCAATATTCACCTGAACTGACCAAATATATTTGTTTAGAAAAAACAATTAAAAGTACTGCAATCGCACAGGAGTCAGAATTGTCAAAAGCCATTTTGGTCAACATGACAACATCTCGAATTCAAATATCTTTAGCCTCAAAATAATTTGGTCAACATCATTTCCTCAAGCATAGGGGTGTAACTAAGTTGATATGTTCACGAACTACTAGCGAACAAGCTCGAGCTTAAACTCGAAATAAACGAGCTCGTTCAAGCTCGAACACTAATAATTCTTATCAAGCTTAGCTCGAATAGACTAAAAATCGGCTCGACTCGGATCGATTGCAGCCCTACTCAAGCTCAAGCTCTAAGGAAGGTTAAAGCCAAAGATATCATATCCTCAAGCTATCATTTATAGCTAATCTAGTCAATATCCACAAATTCAAGCAATGTCCAGAGCTACTCAGAGCACTTTGCTTCAGAGCCTCCAGATTCCTATAGATAGCTTCAAAAAAGGAGGAAGAATTGAAACCCTTGGCATGAGCAAGCTCCACCCCCATCCTGCTTTTATATACACCATCAAATTGAAAATGGAGGGTAGCCAACCCCAACTCTGAAAGGCGATCAATTGTGCAACAAATACTCAAATAGCATACTGGCCAGACCCTAAGACCGTTCAATCTGATTTCCTAAACTCAGAAAGCAAGAGAAATGGACAAATAGCATACTGGCCTTCCTAAAACACGTAAAATGTGCAAATGTCAAAAATCAGAAAGCAAGAGAAATGGACAAATAGCATACTGGCCAGACCCTAAGATCATTCAATCTGATTTTCTAAGACTTTAGCAATGTGATGACAGAAAATTAAAAGGACAACGCTAGAACACAGAAAGCAAGAGAAATGGGGATCTCAAAAAACTAACCGTCAAAGTTTCCTCCAGTTTCTTGGTTTCAGCCAGCAATTTCTTTTCATCAATGAATGGCAACTTTGCAACACCCTGGTGTCCAAGAATTTGGCAAGTAGGAGAGGGGAAAAAATTAGATTAATAAAACAAATATTGAGTTCATCAGTTTAGTAAGAGGGAAAAGGAGAAAGAAACATGTTCTGATGGACCTAAACTATACCTGCCAAGCGAAGCGTTTACCATTCATATCGATATCAAAATCTGGGAATATGAAACTGACATGAGATTGTGACAGAATATGTAGCTAACTTCTACCTAAAAAACAGCAGAGTAACATTACCAGAAGGATAAAACTCAAGCAGAGGTGAAGATGGGTCTGTCATCAATTTCCTGTACATCTCCGGCAAAGCGTTGGAACTGTACCATTAGAAGAAAAAATATACTGGTCAAACATATATCACAGAGAAAAGCTGGTAACTGAAAACATGAGCAAACAAAACCTTGCAGCTGGTAGAGTTCCCAAGAGTTGATCAAATGGCTTGAAAGGCTCTCCCAAGAAAAATGTAATTTCTAGATCAGCTAGATCTTTAAGATCAGAGGCAAATGGAGCATAATGGTATGGATAGAACCTTCACAAATAGCATCAGATACATAAGAAAACATTAAAAAAAAAAAAAAAAAAAAAAAAAAAAAAAACTGAAAGACCAAGAACATGCCATATGCCACCAATTGGAAATGCCTTATAATATTTAAGAAATCATACAGACATGATTTATCCCAAGTAAAATTAGTGGTAATGGTAAAGTAAATAAGAGAAGTCATACAGACATGATTTATTTCAAGTATAAGAGTAAAGTAGACAGTAAACATTTTTGGACAAACAAAACCAATTACCATTGCCATGAGCAAACACCTTGGTAGTAGTAACGGCAAACCCAACATAAACCTTCCACATATTTCAAAACCTGCAAAAAAAGTAAGATCATCATAAGTCAAGGAATCATATTATAAAGCAACTTTTGCCAAGAAATAATTCAATAGTCAAAAATCTGGTCATAAAAGACGAAAAGTCTCCGTCTTGACACTTGATCAAGACAAAACGCTTGGCATACAAATAGAGTAGAGTCAGTAGCTGGTTATATATATGCTCCATAAGCAAGACAAGATGCAGCAAAAACATATCAGGTTATTCAATCGATCTATGTCCATCCCTTATAAACAAGAAGCAGGGGAAAACAAAACCTACCACAGCACCATCAGGTGCTGGATTTAAGACCAATTATAAAAGGCATATAAAACCCTTTTGATGGAGGGGGGAGGGAAGGGAGACCACCTATGAGGTCCATAAATGAAAGCTTCTCCTTTGGAAAGATATCTAGGATGGCAAAGCTGAAGAAACTTAACAGGCTATCCATGAACAATTTAAAGTTAAAGCTCTCAAATATTCTAAGAGCAGAGTCCCAACCCAAAAAATTGACCACACAGTACCATAACAAACCCCAAAAAATGAATTTAAGGGAAAAGAAAAGACATTAGTATATACAAGGGACAGACTACATGATCTCACTGCATGCTGCATCATTTTAATTCTGATTACAACAACACCGACACACCCACCACTGACAATGAAAAACTCAATGATAAAATTAAACAAGGCAAGAAATAAAATCTCAAAAAATGGCTGCCAATTGGTGAAAAGAAAAAACAGCTTCTTCTTTTAGAATCAAGGGTGCAAAAGGATCAATCAACTAGTAGCCTTATGTCATAATATTGCAGATGCACAGTTCCAGTAAGAAACTATACCTAAACTTTACTTTTTGGACATTCAAGAAACATGTCTCTCACCAAACATAATCTACAACAATGTACAACACTTCTGTCACAAGGTAAAAAATTATAAGAACTTGACCAGACAAAGTATTCTCTAAAAACTGCATTTCTGAACCGAAAACAGAGAAATCATTGCAAAATGCAGAAGAAAAAAAATGCAGGATGCAAAATGTCTTATACGTATTCATTTGCTAGACTGTGGAAACTGAATCACTGACCACATCTTTCCTGATTTTGTCGATTTCCTCTGGACTGGATGCACCAAATTTATCGGCATAATACCTCTCCTTATATCCAGGCTCCCCAAGTTTGACCTGCAGAAACAATACTAATTGATTACTCCCTTCTTATATTATCTGACCGCCTAACATAGCTTATTAAATACAGACTTTCATTTAAAATATCAAAGAAATGTATAATTATTTATTCGTTGTGAGTACCAATGTCCAAATACTAGTCAATTTTAGATATCAATGCAATAGCTAATACCTCCTAAAAATGTGTACTAAACCTTAAGCAACAGATATAAGGGAGCAGAGGAAGTGATATGCTTAAGAAATTAAGAATGCCCAAAAAGAAAGATTTAACTACCCCAAGCCAAAAACAGATCAAGATTAGTGCATAAACAGCAATGTACTTTAAAGTGTTTTAAAGCAGCAAATGTTCACATCACACACGATCTGGTTCAATATAACTAATTTAAATTTAAATGCATATCAATTTTTATATACTAGAAATGCTGCAAACATCTTTTAAAAAAAAATATTGCAAAACATAATTAATTACAAAAATTAGTGATGATATCAAACAAACATCCTTTAGAGAGTAAAAAAGAAAAGAAAATATGCAAATAGATTCCTTTACATTTCACCTTCCTCCAAGCAATCATATAGTAAAACAACAATGATGCCTAGACTCCTGGAAGGTTGGAGCGGTATTTTGTTCAACCAAGAACATTATCATGCATCCTAAGCATCAAGCTTCAATTAGTTTTAACGAAATGAAAGCAATTTAACAGATTCGCCAAATGTACATGAAACTAGAGCCAAATCCAAAAGTTTTCCGAGTAGAAATTAAAAAAAAAAAAAAAAAAAAAAAGAGGAAGCACCACCACAAAGTGACTAAACTAATTAATGATAGTAGAGATAAGGGATCTGTTCTCTGGAATTTGATGAATTGGCCAGTATCATCATCCATATCAAGCAAAGTCTGAAGAAAAAAGAGATAATAAAATCAGCCACCAAAGATCGGCCAGTTGTTTCCCAGTTCCTTAAAGTCATGCCACTGGTCAAGACACAACAGCAGTGGGGTCTTCGAAGATGGTCAAACCGTCAAATTATTAAGCCAATATTTCTCACCTTGTCTTCCACTGGAGGCGGTGGCTCTTCAAAGGAGGGATCTCCTGATTCTCTTCTAGCCTTGTTTTTCATCTCCTCATTGTTCTCATAATACTGTAAATCAAAGAAGGATTATTAATAACCCAAAAAAAAAAAAAAAAAAAAAAAAAAAAAAAAAAAAAAAAAAACAATATAGAGCTAAATTAACCTACTGCAATATAATTTCGGCTTTCAAACAAACCAAAAAAAAAAAAAGGATATCAAGCACAGATAAGAGGATGTACTCCGTGCTTATCAAAGTTATATAAGATATATAGAAATAATAAATCATAAAAATGTCACAATAGATAGCAAAAAGTAACAAGCTCTCAGAAATGCATAAATCAAAATTGATAAGATAGTACAAAAGAAGTTAGCAACTTAGGACATAAAGCATATGCATAGAAATTGACACACTGCATGTCTGCATGTAAGCGGAACCCAATGCATAAGACCCACATTGTCAATACATTGTCAACTGAAGTACATCAAATAAGTTATAAGAATAAAAACCAAGGTGATGGGCACCTGCTGTAAGCGAACCCGTTTCTGGAAGATTTGCTCTTCATGAACTGCAACTGATTGAACAAAATGTTCCACTTTATCTAGAAAGACCTGTATACCCAAAAAATACTACCATTAGCTCCATTCAAGAACTACAAAGAGACTTATAAATCTCCATTTTGCAAACCTATTACGCGTGTTAATACTCTGTCATACTAATTACTGCCAAAAAGATGCAAGATAAGGGAGATTTAAAGAGGTATTTAAGATAAGTATAAAGCTGGACTAACATAAGATGTGGCTGTAGGCCCAATGGCATATACTCTGTTATACTAATTACAAATATGTATAAATAATTTTGTACATACTAAAATATAAAAAAACAGTGGAAAAAAAAAAAAAAAAAAAAAAAAAAAACAAGTACAAAATAAAAAGTAACTATCATTCAATGATTCAAAAAAGCATGGCTACATTTCCTCGTTTTTGAGAAGTGGTGTTTCCTCATTTCTCTTTTCATTACTGTCCCTGTCACCATGCTATATAGGTCATCATTTTATGAAAATTTCCTAATTTTTGGGCTTTACTTTTGTAGACAGTATTGACTAGAAGAATAACCATCTATGTTTGCATTCAGCACATTACCAAGGTTTGCTAAACCAAATGTAATGACTAGCATCCTATCAGTGACTTATAGACAAATCACATAGCATGTGTAAGTGCAGCACAATCACCTACCAAGCCTCCAAGGGGAAATTCTAATCAAAACTACAAATTATTTCCTAGTCATTTAACATCTTCGATAGAGGAAATGCCAAATTCCTCAAACAAACACCTCAGTGTTTTAGGAACTATGACATTTTCTGGCAAAGATAAAGAACCTTCATCCCAATTTGTTTCCCCATTCATCGATTGCCTTGTCTAAGCAAAGCTAATTCTATCTAAAAGATCAGAAATTCAAATTACCATAGAACATTGAAAGGCAATTATCAATTTATTCGCTACTATTTTCATTCTTATTATACCATTTCCCCACATTCAATCCATACTACATTAAGAAATCCATTTCCATTGACATATAACTTAAAGTCTTAAACCGTCAAATCTGAATTGGTAACCAACTTACTTCACCAGCATCAGTAAGATAACCACCCATAGCCGCAAATTCGCTTCTGTATACATTCATCAGCAGGTTTATAGCACCCTGAAGCAGAAAAGAAACAGGTCATACAGGTGTAAAGGAAGATCAATAGCAACAAGAAAGGTTGGGAGAGAGGATTTCCACATTGATGGTGCAAACATCTAAATTCTATGAGCTTTGTAATCTAAGAGGGAAGATAGATTATGAGCTAAATAAATTCTTAACATGGCAAGAAAAGTGAAAGCACGAAGTGTGGATGCATAAACTTTCATACATCATACCTCTCGAATTTCTAGTGTAGGCATATGTGGAAGGAAGTCATTGCCAACAAAGAAACACAGGAACACGAAATCATCAATTAAACGTTCAAAATTCATAGTAAAGGGAGGATTAGGAATCTCCAGGTCAAATTGCAGATATTCTCTTAATACCCAAATTTGGAGGAACTGCAAAAATTCATAAACAAAACAATTCAATAATTACAGAGTAGATAAACATGGCTGCAAACAAATCAATCGAGAATTACTAGAGCCAAGGATACCAAGCAAGCAACCTGATATTTTTTCTTGTATATAGGAGTGTCATCTACCAAGTTTCCATTTTTATCAGGCTTAGCACGACAATCTGCTGCCAAATGACCACCTTGACCACAAAGAAAACATTTCTCCTGTTGTGAAGGCATAGTAATGACCTAAATTGGAAGCAAATTGGTTATAAAATGACAAAGATAAACAAGCTCTATCAACTATATCACTAAAGCACCATGTAGAATGTAACAAACCTCTCTCAGAATTGAAAAGTGCACCTCATGTGTGGCCAAAGCCAACATAATCAAATCAGCATCCTGTCAATTGAAATCAAACAGATTGTCAATAATATACAAGTAAGCAACGGGATGAACCAGTCACAGTATATCAATGTATGGGCATACATAGAAGGATCATAATGAACTCACCAAACCATACAAGCAGTGTCGAGTATTGGGATCAAAACCAGGGAGATCTCTTTGCAACCTAATATACGACATAATTTTATGTTCTCCTTCGCCGGGCACATTAGCATCGGATAGAATAACCTTCAAACAAGCACCCAATGCAGTCGCTTAAATACATATAGAGAGAAATTATCCTGAAATCAAGAAGTATATGGGAAAGAGATAAAGAAGGGATCACTCCAGTATAAAGGAATCATCCGATCTTCAAGGGAGTAAGATGATGGGTACTATGTGACACTAACCTTTACCCTCCGCCAGCCAGCCTGGTTGTTCAATCTCTTCTGTACATAATACTGAAGTGCCACCGAGAGCACAAACATAAATTCTGTACCTGGAGTGATGACATTTGAGTCACTGGTTTCTCGCCTCTCCTTAGAAGCCAAAGTCCTTCCTTCAGCCTCAAACTCTTTTTTCAGTCTTTCCTCCTCTGCTTCCTAGGAGATATAATTTGCACAACATCAGGATTTTCAGAATTACCGATAAGAAGTAAGAAAAAGATCAGCCAAATGATGAGAAAGAAAAACTAACAGCCTCCGCAGCATCTTTTGCAGCTCTGAAGCGCCGTGAACGTTGCTGATTCATTTTAGCCCTTGGAGCAACTCCATCTATCATATCCAGGATGAAAAAAGAATGATTCCACAATGCAAAAAAGTCATAATAAAAGATAAAGAGGGTATATGGTAAGGAAATTTACCAATTGCCATGTAGAGAATCTTCCTTGGACGAACCAATGTAAATAAATGATCAATGTACGCAAAAATTGATTGGAACACCTCATCATATGTTGTAGGTGCAGGCTGCATCATAAAAATAAAAAATAAAAATAAAAAAAAAAAACATAAAAATTGGCAAGTTCCCCCTTTTTCAACTTTCATGACATTTTTCTGTTTAACTTACTAAAGGCAAAATAAGAAAACCTTCCAGATATTCTTACACATTATTCACTCTGCTCTATTTAGTCTTTCTCTAAAAAGGAAGTGAATCAAAGATAAATTTTATAAAGAAGAAATTGATTTGCTTCTTCATAAGCACTGGTGACAAGCAAGAGTTCACTGCCATTATTTCATTATCATGATAATGACTAAGAATATTACAGGATACCGAATTATGAACCCAAAGACCCTAAAGCTAGGTCACTCCTCCAGTAAAATCTGATGATTCACATAATCAATTTCTGGTTCAAATTTGAAAAAAGTAATTTCTTCCTGCTTCTTGCAATACAATAATAAAACATCAACTTTGTAACGAAATACAATACTACCTCTGTCCAAATTAGGTTATTACATTGTTCGTTCAAATTATACTCATAATGAAAAATTGACTCAAGACGGAAGGGGTATAAGAAATGTCTGCCAGCTAGAAAATTGATTTGTGCCCCGTTGGTCCAAATTTTTACATTTCGGAGTTTCCCCACATATCAAATAATAAAATTCAATAAACTAGACCTATAAATGCAAGAATTGAAGGCAAAAAATTTCTAAGGCAGCAAAGTCATGACTATTTGTCATTAAATTATAAAGGAGTAAATGAACATAAATCATATCCATCGTAGCTACTTGTCACTGTAAACCTGCAAACAGTCACTATGTTTAGGATAAATGGAAACATCCTCTCTGTTACCATATCGTAAAGCATTTGTGTTTATATAAAACACCTCTTACCTTTATGGGCAAGGCATGTTATTATTGATGTTTTGTGAAAGATTCGCAAGATGTCTAATTCATTACAAGGCAGAATGGCAGATGACCTTTTACAATGCTGACTGGTAAGTATCTCCAGTTAATTTAGAAGACTGAAAGTAATTGCCAAACAAGGACCAGAGCTATGTCACTGATAAAGGAACTTTCAAGGAGATGGTGAAAGGTGGTCACAATGAGATCGATGATTGCAACTGAAATTGCAGTGGGGTGGACACTGATCAGAAGTGGGTACTACCCCTCATCTGGCCAGCTGAAGTGGGTAAAAAAAAAGTCATTATAGAGGTAATTGTACAGACAGGAACACAATTTATAACACCACAGACGGTGGAGTGGAGGTGAATTCTGCACCATATCCACATACCTTATCCCAAACTCAGCCCATCCACCTTATACTGACTGCCCCACACCTGGCCAGTTGAAGTGGGTAAAAAAAAAAAAAAGTTGATATGCAGGAAATTGCACAGGCATGAATACAACTTACAACATCGCAAATGATGGACTGATGGGGTAGATGTAAATCCTGCATCATATCCACACGGCCCATTCCAAAACTTGCCCATCCACCACATACTTGCCCACCCACCCCACAGGCCCACACCTGTACATATTTGTAGCCTTCCCAACACACTTCAACATTTCTTACTTCATCCCTTTCTTTAAATTCCCACCAAACATCTTTCTCCAGCTCTCAAGCCCTCCCTCAACCATCCAATCCAACGACGAAACTGAGAGCCTAGTCTAATTTTTCCTCAATTCTTCCCTTCCATACACAATATATACAAATTTATTCTCGACAATGGCTATCTCAAATAAGAGACGCTCATAAAATCTTCCTACAACTTATGCTATTTCTCTCTTCATGACTCACACTCTTCATTTTACCTCAAGTACATGTATCGGAACCTCCACTCGGACATAGGAATGAACCTTCATTTTGGACCAAAATCATGAATTGCTTTCACAAACTAACCCAGTTGGACACTTGGACACATGGCCATGTTGGAAATGTATACCCAAGTTCGAATAACAGAGCCTTCTCTCATGAATTCCTTGCTTCCATGTTTGCTTCACTGCTATCAAATTGCAAAATCTGTTGGAAAGCCTTGCTATCGGTGATTTGAGATCTTGGTAATTTTTTTTTTTTTTGTGTTAGGTCAAAGTGTCAAACTCTAATAAAGACACCATTCAATATAAATTTAGAATCTTTACTACTTGTGATAAGTTTGGGCTGACTGTTAGGTCTCTCGTATTTCTATTAAAATGTTCATAATCTAATCACTATGAACTATATTTGTTAACATTACAGTAATGCACCAAGAAGATTTCAACTATATCTGTTATATTTCTTGAATTTCATGATGCTTAAGATAATTTTAGTTTTTCTCTCCCCATACCCATTATTTTCTTTCGCTGATAGATCATTTTATGTTGTCCTTTTGATGCTAGGTCATCCTTTACTGTTGACCATTTTTTGGGATACAGACCTTCAATGTTACTTTTTCTGTCTTTGAATGGATTAAAAAGTATTCAGTTGAAGCAGGTAATGCAGACAGGTAAAGCCGGCAATGGATTAAAAAGTATTCAGTTGAAGGTGAGCATGGTTTACAGGGTTTTACCAGCCAGGTCAGAGTGGAGGACAATATTAAGCATGGTGGCATGGGGTGGATAAGGGTAGAGAAAATCTTACGCAGGTACATATATGGAGAACCCTTCCCTAAACCTGTCTCTTTGTCCCATAACCATCCCTAGATGTGAGAACTAAGCTGCTGAAATGAGCAATAGGTAATAACATAATAAAGATTCTTTGAAACCTATCATTGTTCCAGTACAGCTGTTCGGGAAAGGAGTTCTGCATAAGCCCCCAACTGCAAAACAGGAATAAATGGAGCTGGCATGCAAAGTGGAACTTACAAAGCTTAGGTAACCATTCCAAAGTGCACCTAATTAGTCTTTTATCAACATAAAAGTATAAGCTTATGAAAAAATATATTTAATAGAAAATTGACAGTATATACTAGTAATGCAATTACAAAATCATCTGCATTTACCAAACATCATATTACAACCATTCATCGATAAACATTAACAATATTTTAGATAAAAACTATACTAGCATCCTCCCAAATCACCACTTGCTCTCTCTTCTATTAATCTCCTCCTATACCTCAATGAACTTCTTCACTCTCTCTCCATCCCTCCCATGCGTCTCTTTATCTCATCCCCACAACCAAGGGATGCCTACCACCCATAAACTCCTCCTACCAAACGATACCAAGCAATCCTCTTGTGTTTCAATCCCCCGTTATGCATATACCAGCACTAGTAACAAACACCAGTAAAATATTTCCTTAAACAGTTCAAAAAACAGAAACCTTATATTTTGCAGTTTTATTGACAATGTATGAAAAACCACCAGAATTGTTAAGCTATCTCCAAGTGACTAGTTAAACAATTACAGAAAAGAGAGCTAGATTGCTTAACATAGTGATCAGGCCCAAAGTGTATAAAACCTCAATTTGAAAGTGTTATCCAGTTCAATGTGACTCACTCTCTCAACAACGAACAACAGTTCTACATAGCAACTCATCAATAACAGCAGCATATCCCATATTACTTGATGTTGGCAATGAATCAAACACAAGTTAATTACAAGTGTCTAGCCATCAAATACCAATTGAAACCCTCACTTACACATTAACAAGAGTTCAAACTTAAATTTCCCAAATTCTCATTTACCTGATGTTGGTAAACGGTACAAACAACACATTTAAAAAACCTCATTCTTCATCTCACATGTAAAAAACGAGCATTCGACATCTTATCTAAGCCGAAAAGTGACCAACCAATTCATGTTTCTTATCCAACCAATGACCTCATACTTCTTGTTTACACAATACACATTAACCAAAAGTTCAAACTTGAATTTACCAAATTCTCACATACCAAACAACCCAAAAGTTCTTACACAAAACCCCAATTCACATAACACAATGCCCAACTCAAAACCTCAAAAAACAATACAATTTACAGTTTAAGCATTACACTACTCTCCACCAAATTAAAAATCCTAAATTTCCCATGTACCCAATAATCCAAAAGTCCAAAACTTTAACCAAACATGCTCAAAATTCTAAAAAAAAAAAGTAATTTTTCAAATTAAAATTGCTTGAAAATAAAATTACCCTTTTATCCGGGTGAAAACAAGGATGAATAATTCCATTCATATCCAAATACAAATTATCAAACTCCATGCCATTAGGATTAGGTCTTGAAACATCAACAGGGTAAACGAGGCCGTTTTCATCCTCCTTTGGTTCTTCTTCAACAACATTGGAAATCGCCAATGGGTAGCGATCAGCTAACCACCTATAGAATGCGGGAACCCCCATTAAATTAACTAATCAGATAATTGAGATCTGGATTTGCTGTGAATCTTCAAGAAATACACAGCTGATTGAAGAAGGAAGGAGAGAGAATTGAAGATGATGAATTGGCTTTTTTTTTTTTTTTTCTAAGGAATTTTGACCTTTTTATTATGATGATGAAGAAGAATTCTAAGGAGGGAAATCAAATTTAGGTGGAAAGGTATGAATGCTGGGTTTTTTGGTTGATGGTTCTTAACTTTTTCGTCTTTGTTACCTTTGTTTTTTTTTTTTTTTCCAAATAGTCTTTGTTACTTGTATATACTGTTGTTTACTAATTATGTTTGTATTTTGTATAGTGTCCTTTATCTTGTTAAACTTTACAACTTAATTTTGATGGCATAACTTGAGAGATATCGATTTAGTATCTTAAATTTCACAATTTAAACTTATTTTAATGAGAAAATACAAGTTGATGTTCATGATAAACAAAAATCGTTTATCAAGTGACATTGATGCGGATCAAGCATCAAGAATTATTTTAGGATTTTATTTTAGGATTTAATAGTCTAGATATATTTTCATTAGGATTTATTTTTTTGTATTGGTATGATTTACTTAGGATAATATTTATCTATTTATAAGATATTATTAGAGTTTGTTAGGATTTTATTTTATTTTTTAGGTTTGTTTATCCTATCAGGCATGGCATTGTATGCCTATAAATATTTGTTTTTATTAATGAGAATTTAGAGACTGATTGAGTTTATAAAACATGAAATTGTGATTTAGTTTGAGTGAATCGAATTGATTTCAAAACGTGACAGGCTGAAGTCGTATCACCTAATCAAAAGTAATTCCTAAGTCCTCTAACTAAAGTAGATAGGGAAGTAGGGTCGAATCCGCAGGGAAACAATGTTCTTTTATTTCTAATCAATTATTATAATCTAAACTATCAAGTAACCAATTTGTATTGTGGGAATTAAACTAACAATTAAACTAAGCAAATTAAATAAAGGAATAATCAATAATAAAAGGCCTAGGGTATAGGTTCACCAATAAATAATATTCCAGGGGTAAAACATGACAATCAATCATCAATGCATAAATTAATCAGATTATAAAGGGCTTTCGCTACATATTATAATCACAGAATTAATCTACCGGTATTAAATCGCATCTCTCGAATCTTGACTTAACCATTTATAGATTAACATGCCTATTGAAACTAAGCCTAAACATCAATTCTCATCTCTCGAATCTCAAATCAATATTGCATAACTCATACAATTAAATCTAGTCAAATCTAATTGCATAGCATTAAATCAATCAATAGGAAATTAATCAAAAACATTAACAATCAACAATAATAAATTACCCTTTCATATTATTTATGGATCTCCACAACCCTAGAAATAAAATTACTCACACATATTTAAATCTAAACTAATCAAAGCAATTAAATAAAGCATAATATAAAAACAATAATAATAATTAAAACTAAGACAAGATCGAATGAAAATAACAAAACTAAGAATACTGGATGCTAAAATAATGAAAGCTAAATAACGAAAATCGTAAAACAATAAAAGTTAAAAGTCAACTGTTGCATGAAAACTAAAACTAAATAAAAGCTGCGGAAAGCAAAACTAAGAACTAATAGAATCCATCTAACCCCCTTAATGTCAGCCTACTAATAGGCTTTATATATTAGTAATACTACCCAACCCACTAAAAAACGAGTAGCCGACATTAATTAGCAATTTAACAGTGCTTGGACTTCTCCCGCCCGATCAGGCATTGGGCTGCAAGATCAAGCCCGGTCAGCAATGCTACGAGCTAGGCCTTGCCTTCTTTTGCTTTGGGCCCAGTTCTTCTTTCTCTCATACTTGGTCCGCGTCACTTAAATGATCCATGATAATAATGTGACCCATTCTCTTCTTTAATCAAGCCCTTATTCACCAAACTAAATTTATCTAGCGCGGTCTTGGGCTTCAAATATACGGTCATAAAATACGATCAAACTCCAATATCTTCGTAGTGGCTCAATAAGCTCGGGAATTATCATAAATCTGCAAATTCCTACAAAATAATACCAACTCTACAAAAACACTAGAAAACGTATATTAGTATTTAAAATAGCTCCGTAGAGCTCAAATAAACACAATTATGACATTGGGACGGGGAATAAATATATATATAAAATAGACTTATCAAAACGTTGCTTTTCTTTCAAAAAGATCAAAATTTACGTTACTTTTCTTCTTGTTTAAATCGAGAAGATCAAAACATTATTGAATTGGGTTTACCATAATTGCTAGTATCCCTTCCCGTGGTTTAATCCACATCAAATTGGTATCAAGAGCCAGTCGGAATTTTTCTTTATTAAAAAAAAAATTTAAGAAAAAAAAAAACTTGTTCTAGTGCATAATTGTTTTGCTTCGTTCTCCTTTGTTAGAAAAGCTTTTAAGGCAATTCTTTTTTTGAATCTGGGTGTTTTTTTGTCTAGTTTTTACATACAAAATCTCAGAAATTTTCAAAAATGTTTGTTATTAAACTGGGTCAGTTTCTTCCAACGAGTTAGTTTTGAGTCTATTTTGTGATTGCTTTTTATTGGAAGTGTTCTTTGCTATTGCAATTTGTCGTTCAATATGGGCGACCAAATAGAGCTTATAACTCATATGGAGAGAATGTTGGAAGTGAATCAACAATTGCAACAAGTAACATAAACATTACTAGAAATTATGGTTGAGATTCAAGAATATGAAAGAACAAAAGCACTTGAGATGGAGGTGGTTGACTCTAATTCTATGAACAAGGTTGATAATATTTCAAATCTGGTTGTGCAAGATGAAGAACAAATTGAGGTGCTAGATGATGATTAGATTTAGCTTTGTCTTGTCCATTTATTGATGCAACCCAGGCAATTAATCAAGATGAACTGAAGATCCGAGCTATACAACATATTTCTGTGCGAAAATTAGACTTGGTTGTTCATGATATATCTTTTCCTGATTATTTTAGTTGTTTGCATATGGAAGCAACCACACTAAAAATTGGAATTGGTGGTAAAATTAGGAGAGGTGGAAAGAATGGTCTTCAAGAGAATATATTTTCATATTTTGTTCGTTTAATTTGGATGATTTCGTGGTTCGATAAAAATTGAGACAAGTTTTTTTTCAAGAGGGCGAGAATGATGCGGATCAAGCATCAAGAATTTATTTTAGGATTTAATAGTCTAGATATATTTTCATTAGAATTTATTTTTTTGCATTCGTATGATTTACTTAGGATAATATTTATCTTTTTATAAGATATTATTAGAGTTTGTTAAAATTTTATTTTATCTTTTAGGTTTGTTTATCCTATCAAGCATGGGATTGTATGCCTATAAATATTTATTTTCATTAATGAGAATTTAGAGATTAATTGAGTTTATAAAACATGAAATTGTGATTTAGTTCGAGTGAATCGAATTGATTTCAAAACGTTGCTTTTCTTTCGAAAAGATCAAAATTTACGTTGTTTTTCTTCTTGTTTAAGTCGAAAAGATCAAAACTTTATTGTATTAGGTTTAACCCAATAGTTAGTATCCCTTCTCGTGGTTTAATATCCACATCAGACATTTCCATAAATAAGTTAATAACTTTTGTTAAATGCGGGTCCCACAAATATTAATTTATTTACGAAAACGTCATAATATCTAGGATATTTTGTTGATTTATTTACAATAATGTCACTAGATAAACAATTTTTGTTTATCATGAAAATCAAGTGGGGCTCCCTCTTTTTGTTTTCCTCTTCCACAATTCCCCTCATACTCCTTGAATTTGGTTGCTTTATTTCCTTTTTTCAATTAGAATTCAAAATTAGGTTAGGGCTTTAATCTCACTTGTATTTTATTTTTATTTTTTTCCTTATGTGAGGTCATCTATGGAGCACAAATCAAATAAAGAGGAAAAAAATTATATGCTTTGTTTTTCAATTTAGGGTTTAAATGATACATTAGACTTTTTTGTTTTCTCTTTTTGAGAAGTCATAATACATGGTAATTCATGGGGAAAAAAAAAAACACACTTTGAAAAGTTACAACATAAGCATTCATGTTCATGTAGTTCAAGGGGTTATAAACTTATAATATCTTGTTACTCTCACCTACAATGTTTGAACAAAAACATTTAAGAAAAGTTTTAAATTTAAAAATATTATATTGCTTGAGTTGCTTCTTGGTTCATGACTCCACCAAATGAAAGTTTTCATCAAAGAAGAGTTTTCATTTTTTTTCGTTAGTAGAAGGGCCTTATCGGACCAGAATCTCTCATAGATGCTCTTGGTCGGGCTTTGAAAGTGGGGGGGAAGGGTAAGGGAATCCCCACCCTAAAGTGTCACTAGTGGGGTTATATCCCACAACCTCCTGGTTGTGAGATACAAACTTTTCCACTAGACCAAGCTTAGCTTGGTATCAAAGAAAAGTATATGCCTTCTTTCTTTTTCATAATAAAAGCGATGTATCATTTTCTTAATTTGAACATGCAAGGCTTTTGTAATTCCCCGTATTTTTATATGTATAATAATTTAAAGTATTATTTTATGATATATTTAAATAATTTAAATGAATTATTTATGGTATTTGATAATTTAAAAAGGTTTATTTTAATTAAAAACCCACTTCTATTTATTTATTTGGTTTTGGAAATATTTTGTTCCATTACTTAGAAACTTTGGGGCATATTTAATTTATAAAGGAATTTTTAAAGTCAATGGAATTTACAGAAAGTCAAATACAATTTGGAATAGGAGTGAAAATCATTAAGGGTAGAAAGGGAAATTTAAGTTAGGAGGATTTTGAGAGAGGGTATAAATACCTATCTATGAGCAAATTGAGACTTTTTCCAAGGAGAATACCCAAAGGTAAACTCTCTCTCTCTCCTCTTATTTTCTCTCTCCTTAATTTTCCCCTCTCTCATTTGTTTACTCACCTCCACGCCACACACACGTGGTCGGACACCACCACAACCACCCACCGGCCGGCCACTGCCACCAGTGAGCGCCGGCAACAGGAGCACCAGCGGGCGACGCGGGCAGCAGCTCGTGCGTGGGTGTGCGTGCGCAAGCAAGAAGAAAAAAAAACTCCTCTCTTTTGTTTTAAATTAATCTAGCTTTGATTAATTATTGAATTTGGGTGTGTGTGTGATTTTTATGATTTTTTAATAAAGATTAATATGCATATAATTTTCAGATTTGGTTTTGAATGAAAAATCCCCAAATTGATAAACTCTAGGTTTCTAAATTGATGTTTATTGATGAAATTTAATGGAGGTTGATTAAAACTATTGAAATTAGTGTTTTTAAACTAAATTACAGCAAGTTTAAGAGTTTTTATAATGCTGGAATTTTTATGTAGAGGCTAGAATAAAGTTTTCTTGAAGGGATTTTAATTACCCATTAATTGGGAATAAAAGTAGATGGTTTAAATTAATTTTCAGCATGTTTTAAAAGGTTTAA